ACTCTGGGAACTAGGGTTTTATAGGTTGGGGGGTCTCAACTGAATTCCCAGCAGCAGCAGCAGCAGCATGAAATTACAGTCCCAAAGATTATTTGAGGAAGCCATGAATCCTAAAAGGAATAAATTCCAAGATTCCATAAAAAATATGATTTTTTAAAAGTGTGCAATAAGGAACACAAAAGGATTTCTGTTGTTACTTGGACTGCAACCTACACTGATATCAAAATTCAGCATCTTTAATGGACCTGAAGAGCATTGTGATTGTTGTGCAATATCCAATGTTACTACCATGTGTTCTAAATCTCTTGTGCTGGATATGCCATTCTGCCATAAGGATTAATAGGGTCATTAGCTTTCTGTTTACAAGTCCCTTTAGAATAAATTGTCGTGACTGGTGTCATCCTTTCCCCCTCCCCATTTCCTGTTTTGTTTTTGTTTTTTGGCGTTTTGGTTTTTAAAATGTTTTCCGCTATTAATTTTATTTGCGAGGTGGCTTTCCTTACTTGACAGTACTAGCTGCATGTGTACACCCCATTAAGTTTGAATCATAGCCAGTATCTAAGGAGATGAAAGAACATGCTGTACAAATGGAATTAGAGGAGACAGCAGAATGTTGGAATAAGCAACTGGAATAAATTCAGTAGGCATTTTGCACCCTCTTTGACTAAATTATTTCAGCAAAGAAAAAAAGAAATCCTGGACTAAACCTTAGAGATTTTCTGGTTTATGTTATGAAAAATTGTGTTATACTGCAAGTAGCGTGAGCAGTTCCCTTGCACAAGGTGCCAAGCTGAGGGGGTGCAAAATTGAGAAGATCCATAACTGAGAAGATCTATTTGGGAATGCCAAATTTTGGCATTACTCAGGGTGCCGTAGAACCAAAGATTACCAAAGTCTGCCCCTCCTGCAAGGGTGGCTAAAGTGTGGGCCTCCAGATGTTGGTGAACAACACCTCTCATCATCCCTGACCATTGGCCATGCTGTCCGTGGCTGGTGGTAATGGGAGCTGAGCAACATCTGAAGTTCATAGGTTAACCACCGCCCTTTATTTAAACCAATCGCTAGCACCAGATTATCAACTGGTGTTTCATCAGTGGGAGCTTAAAACAGATCTTCTTGTATTCGCTGATAATCCCGTTCTAGTTTTTGGTTTTTTTTAATAAGCCATCCCTCAGAGCTTGGGAAAGATTACATCTTTCACTGAAAGAGAACAGTTTGGAACCAGTTTCCAGTTTAATTTTTCAGAGTGGAGAAGACACGGAAAAGAAAGCCAGGAATTCCTCTCTATTGCAGCCTTACCTGCTGCAAGGTAAGCCTTACTATGCTCAGCTTCCATATTTGTAAATAAAATAAATATTTACAGAGGGGCCATAAATGCCTAATACTTTTATCATCCAAAAAATGCTGGATACTCTAGTGCTGCCCCTGAACTTAAAGAATGCTTTGGGAAATAGAGAGCACTTAACAATATTTTTGCTCTGTTAGAGAAGTGTTTCCCTTTTTTATATATATTCCGATCACTCCTTCCCCACAGATTTAAATTGGAGGCATACTTTGCAGTCCTCTCTCTCTCTCTCTCTCTCTCTCTCTCTCTCACACACACACACACACACACACACTTAATCAACTCCCAGTGTGCATAAGACTGCCACCTTAGGTTGTCACTGTGAGCATTTTTTTTAAAGGGATGTTTAAATAATAATGATCATTCATGATAGGCACATTACAATTGCATTCATCCACTGGGTCAAGAGGCATCCCCAATACAGATGATTAAAAGCTTGGTCAATGGAGTCCGTGTTTCAGGAAGATTCTGCCGGTGAGGGATCCCAAGGGGAACCACTGTGAATTCAGATAACCAAGTGCTTTTGGTTAACCGAAGCTGGTATAATAAGGTTCCTACAGTGCTTCTTTTTGTGTGATCATGCTTTTGTATTCAGAAGAGCACTTTGCCTTCCTGTGTCCTACTGTGGGAGCATTACAATACGGAGAGTGGCTGGAGGGAGCTGACTTGGCAGGGAGCCTCTCCACTGGGAGTGGGTCAGCTAATTTTGTTGTAGCTCTGAATAAGATATTACCAGCTCCTCTGGGGAATTAAAAGGTATATTAATGTCTGATCCTCAAGTTAAAATTGTGTCTAAGTATGTAACACTTTAAAAAATCTGCTGGGGCCCTTGATTCAAGTACCACATCTTCCATTAAGAAGGTGAGATTTATCTCTTTACAGTGTCACAGATCCTCATTTTAAGCTGCGTAGGATCACTAGATATCAGACGACAAGTGCGTCACTGATCTAGGAATGAACACTGCCCTTCTTGAACCACACACCATTGGGATTTGAGTAGTAATAAATATAAGAGAAAAGGAAAAAAAATGTTTCTCCCTGACTCTTTTGTGACTTTTATGAAGTTGTAATATAATAGATAATCTCAACATTTCGTGCTGAAAGTACAATACTCTGGGCATTTCAAAAGTGCTAACCTTGAGAATCTGAAGAACAGTTTCTTCCTCTCATTCATTTTTTTTTTTTTAAAGGAAAGAAATGGAGTTACCTTATGTTGTTATTCATTCAGATAATCCAGAGGTGGCCAACATGGTGCCGTCCTGATGTTTTTGACTACAACTATCTCCAGACACTCTCTGTATTGTGGGTTAAACGCGGGTGGCGCTGTGGGTTAAACCACAGAGCCTAGGACTTGCCGATCAGAAGGTTGGCGGTTCGAATCCCCGTGACGGGGTGAGTTCCTGTTGCGTGTTGAGTCCCACAATGCCACCCCCCAAAAATTCACACTTCACACATCAATTTTTGTTTAAGGTTTTTGGCATAATTTTGGCCACAACTTTATTCAAAATACAAAAATGTGAGTGGTTGCTTAGGCATTGGTTATGACTATCTGTCCTTGCCCCAGGGACAGAGCTGACTTCCGGATTCCAGCGGAAGCCAGCGTGGGAAACAAGTATTGGGTGAGAAAATGAAGCTGGGCATCAGTCTCACACTTCTCACCCTCATGTTCCGGTGGGGCTTGCACGGCCCAAGTCCGATTCCAGGGACAAGGACGAAAAGAATGGCAAGCCCCTGGATTCCTTTAACGGAATTCCCTTTCCGCATCATTTGGAGGGATAGGCACTTACCCCTCCAAGCACCAATTTAACCAATGCCTAACCGCCAACCTTACAAGTTGTGACGATTTGCTACGCAGTAGGCAAAAACCAAATGGCACCAGCCAATCAGCCAGATGGCAAAATTCCTACCAGGCCCCCGCTCCAAGGCGGACGACCCCATGACAGGCATAGCAAGGTCAAGCGATCAAGAAAAAACCACCCTATTAAAGGGAGGGAGGGCGGATGATCCGGTGCAAAACGGCCAAGAGGACGTCCAACGTCTGGCCCCTGTATTTAAAGACTCTGACCCCTCCTCCAAATTGGCAACAATCAAAACTCCCCAGCAACCCAATTTTAACCACTTAAAGGCTTGGGTTCCTCACAAAATCTGCCCAGTAACGGCAGGGTGGCTTGTTCCCCCAACCGCAACACGTGCTCTCTGTTAGGGAGAACACGCTTTGCGTGTTGAGTCCCACAATGCCACCCCCCCAAAAAATTCACACTTCACACATCAATTTTTGTTTAAGGTTTTTGGCATAAATTTGGCCACAACTTTATTCAAAATACAAAAATGTGAGTGGTTGCTTAGGCATTGGTTATGACTATCTGTCCTTGCCCCAGGGACAGAGCTGACTTCCGGATTCCAGCGGAAGCCAGCGTGGGAAACAAGTATTGGGTGAGAAAATGAAGCTGGGCATCAGTCTCACACTTCTCACCCTCATGTTCCGGTGGGGCTTGCACGGCCCAAGTCCGATTCCAGGGACAAGGACGAAAAGAATGGCAAGCCCCTGGATTCCTTTAACGGAATTCCCTTTCCGCATCATTTGGAGGGATAGGCACTTACCCCTCCAAGCACCAATTTAACCAATGCCTAACCGCCATGGAGCCCACAGCTCACCGCCAAACCACTCACAGACCCAACCAAGCCCTCAGCTTGGCCACCACTGCACCCAGCCAAGCCTCATTCCCTGAGGCAGAAAGATGCGCGCCATCAGCTCTGAAAAAGGATGCAGCCTGAAAAAGAATCTCAGGATGGGAAATCACATCTCCACCCAGCTCAAAATCTTTTTAGACACAGCAGAATTGATGCGCTTCCTGGCCCTTTCAGTGGCAGCTGGGCAACGACTACCCTCCCAAACACGTCGTTGCAAAAGCTTTGACCAAAATATTTTTGCTGTTGGCACCACTGCCCGCAGCTTCTCCAGGTCACCCAAAATTGCAGCACGTAGTGAAAAAAACAGTCCATGGAAACCAGGTCGTTCTCACCCAGCTGCACCCCAACAGCAGTGGGCGGCCCTTCCAGCAGCACCTGCCTCCGAATCAGCGGCAGGAATTCTGGCTGGCGCAGTCCCCGTCTGGACAGCCAAAGCAACTGCACATGTGGAGGAAGGCCGAGACCCGGTCCCAAACCGGACTGCCGTGCACTGATGCTGTGCCCCACCATCCAGATGCGGACAGCTGCTAAACCTAAGATAAAACAAGCAAAAATTGTAAGACACCAATAATGTTAACGAACATAACCTTTGAATGCATTCGATTTCCAATGACCTGTATTTTATTTCCACTGCCTTATTAACACGCTTTCCGGTCTTCTCGGTGGTAGTTTGTCTAGGCATTGGTTCCTGACTAGCTGCACCTGACCTCAGCAGGGCAGCACTGACGACTGGGCCCCACCATATCGTCAGTACCAGCAAACATTGTGGGGGAGCAATGAATCCCAAGGCAATCGCATCCCGCCAGGTGTCGTTCCCCATAGGGGAAAGATGCACCCCATCTGCCCTAAAGAGAGCAACAGCCTTGAAGAAAAATAGCAGGGTGCAATATTACAGAACCACCTAAAGCAAGGACCTATTTTATTTTATTTGTTATTTTATTTTATTTACTTTATTTATTTTATTCTATTGTCCACCGCCTTATTAACATGCTTTCTGGCCTGCTCGGTGGTAGTTTGTCTAGGCATTGGTTCCTGACTGGCTGCACCTGACCTCAGCAGGGCAGCACTGACGACTGGGCCCCACCATATCGTCAGTACCAGTAACAGCGTGGGGGAGCAATGAACCAGGATCAGACTCAAGCTCACCCCCAAATGCTCCCAGGGACTCTTGCATGCCCCTACCCCTCGAAAGGGGTCGACAAAAGCATGGTGAATCCTTTGCGCATTGGAGGGGACAGGTGCTCCAACCCCCCCTCCAGACCACCTTGAACCAATGCCTTAAATTATTTTGAGTCCTGGGAGAGCTGCCATCAACTCAATCCAAGCCCTCTTGCATGCAGGAATGCAAACTTATGCTGGAGGAAGACGGCAAGTCATTCTCGTCCAGCTGCACCACTAGCACTGCGGGAGGACCTGCACAGGTCACACTCGACCGCACCAAAGGAAGGATCTCCTCCCAAAGCATTCCCCATCTGGACATCCAGTATATGTTCACATGGGCAGGAAGACTGAGATGGCGCCCCAGTCCAAACTCGTCAACCTGCTTGCCAGCCTAGTGTACAATGCTGTGGCCCAAATGTGCACAGCTGCTCCTATGAAAAAGGAAATAACAGACAAGCATCAGCACAGACATCATTGTGACACTTCCTGATATAACCCTTGTCAGCGTCAGACTACCAATGACCCGTATTCACAATCCTGTCTACTGACAGGCCCCCAGTGTGCAGCCTTTGCAGCAGCACCCAATCGTAAGGAATGAGACGTGTTCAGCGGTAAGCAAGCCGCAGGCCGTAATAACTGGTGCACGACGTAAGCACATTGATGCCTGGCTAACGGGAACCCATTTTCATGCACTAGGAGCGGGCCAGCCCCCAGGGAATGAAAAGCCAAATATTCTGTTATCCATAACCAGGCAAGGGCCCTCCTCAACTGTGGCGGGAAGCCTGATTGTGGCACTCCTGCCCACTAAGTCTGTTTTAGAGTTCCCAACTCTAATGACAAGCTCCAAAGGATAAGGAAAAGTCCTGAAGCAATAAGCCTCCAGACTCTCAGCCCCATGCTGGCTCCAACAACCATTTTCCCAAGCCTCAGTGCGAAAATGCAGTGGACTACTGAAAGGAGTCTCGCCTTGATCTTTAACCAGCAGACAAGTTTTAACTTGTTGCAGATACTGCATAGGTAAAAATTGACCAGCTTCCTGCCCACTGTCCTATGAGGTTGGAGCCTATTCCAACCTTCCAAGGCCATGCGCACTACAAACTTTATACAAGGGTCTCTGAAAAATAAAGCTTCAGTGTAACAGACATTGCAGCGGACTGAATTCTGATAGTTATAACGCACGCCCAATCTGCAGCAGGTGGACCAAATACTGCGGATCTGCTCAGAGGATGGGGGCCAGTTCATCTGAATGGCCGAGGACTGCCAGCTTAAGGCTAAGAAATCCATCCAGGCCTTCCCATAAGAGCTAAAAGCAGAAGGGGAAATGGAAGCTGCTGCTCTCTGTAATTACTAATTGTTGTCAAAATGCCACAGGTGGTCTGGAAAAGTCTGGCAATAGCTGAGTCTGGAGCCCAGGATCTGAAGCACTTCATCTGAAAATGGGATAGAGTGTCAGCGACATCATTAGAGGATCCTGTAATTTGGAGAGTAGACAGCACAATATTAAACCTTAAGCGGCGCAGCTCGAAAGCATGAACGGAGGGGCGGAGACTGTGCTAGAGCGTGAGGACTGTTTTGCTAAGACGCTCACCACTACCTGGTTATCAGACCAAAAGCAGATCCAATGGTCACTGAACTCCTCGGGCCACATGTGAACTGCTACTACAATGGGGAAAACTCAAGAAAAGTTATGTCACATGATTGCCTCACCACACCGGGCTTGAGGCCATAGCTTTGCACACCAGCATCCCTTGAAATAAAAACCAAAGGGCAAAGATCCAGCAGCACCAGCATGAACCTGAAAATCCCTGTGCGGGTTCAAGGTATCCTGCCATGGCGAACTCCAGAGAAGCGGACACGGAGCAATGGATCCAAACTACAAGAAAGAAGATTCCACCTAAACATAAGGAAGAACTTCCTGACAGTAAGAGCTGTTCGACAGTGGAATTTGCTGCCAAGGAGTGTGGTGGAGTCTCCTTCTTTGGAGGTCTTTAAGCAGAGGCTTGACAACCATATGTCAGGAGTGCTCTGATGGTGTTTCCTGCTTGGCAGGGGGTTGGACTCGATGGCCCCTGTGGTCTCCTCCAACTCTGTGATTCTATGATTCTATGATTCTACTATTGCATACATTCAGGAATTGCTAGCATCGCCTGATATCTGCCTTCACCACACTTGGTAGGCGTACACAAAGGTAAGGGGACCTCAGGCCGCAGGCAGCCTGGCCTAGTGGGAAGATTAATTAAGAGACCCAGCAAGATCGGATCTGATGAAGCATCACTTGCTACACAGGAAGTATTACAAAATAACTTCCTTCCAGGCAGACAGCTTCTCCATAGGCAAGTGGTATGTTTTAGCAACGATATCCAACTGGATCCCTAAATAAAATGGGAATATGGGCAAAAGGTATTGAGCTATTGCTTGCCAGCTTCCAGCCCCCGCTGGGCAGGGGGCATCTTGTGCTGCCATCATGATATGTAAATTTACAGGGCCGAGGCTGGCCAGAACCCTTAAAGAAGTCCCGACAAAGCTGCCGCCGAGCCAGCTTCCTTTTCAGACACACACTCTGTGCAATGCAAAAACACACTCCATGCAATGCAACTACACACTCCGTGCAATGCAACTACACACTCCGTGCAATGCAACTACACACTCCGTGCAATGCAACTACACACTCCGTGCACTGCACACACAAACCCTCCGTGCAATGCAACTACACACTCCGTGCAATGCACACACAATCCCTCCGTGCAATGCAACTACACACTCCGTTCAATGCAAAACACACTCCCTGCGATGCAACTACACTCCATGCAATGCAACTACACTCCATGCAATGCAACTACACACTCCGTGCAATGCAACTACACACTCCGTGCACTACACACCCTCCGTTCAATGCAACTACACCCTCCGTTCAATGCACACACGCTCCGTGCAATGCAACTACACCCTCCATGCAATGCATACACACACACTCCGTGCAATGCAACTACACACTCCGTGCAATGCACACACACTCCGTGCAATGCAACCACACCTTCCGTACAATGCAACAACACCCTCCGTGCAATGCAACTACACCCTCCGTGCAATGCACACACACCCTCCATGCAATGCACACACGCTCCGTGCAATGCAACTGCAAATCTCTCATGCAATGCAATGCAATTGCAGCCCGTGCAGCGCCGTGCCCTGCAACACACAAACTGCAATGCGGGCACGCAAAGGTGCTTTCTCCCGCTTGCATATTGCAAACGTGGCGCCCGTTACATCCCTCGCAGTGAGGTAACCACCAAAAGGACTTAAGTGTCCAGGTAGAGCAATGGGGGAGCATGCAGCTGTCCCATACAGGGACCAATCCTGCAACCCAGGCATTACCAGCACTATGCGCTGACCCAGTGAAACCAATGCTTCATGGACCACATGGGGACACTATTCAGGCCGGAAACGCTTCCAGGCCATTGAATTCTAGGGCAAAGCCCTAGGATCACCTGCTAGGCCAGGCATAAATGTTTCCAGTGAAATAGCAGAGTTGAGGTAGCCCACAGCTTGTCCAGGTACCCCTGTTTGCCCTTTTAGAGGGAAGCACCCCTTCAAGAAACCCAAAGTTCTTTTATCACAAACGGGCCTAACTACCCAGCAACAGAATAGCCCAAAAGGAGCAGTTTGTTTTGTTTTGTTATAACAATGGCTAAGAGGGGGATATGAACCCTGTCTCCCAGGTCCTAGTCCTACACTTTAGCCACTAAGCCACAATGGCTCATCTCTAAAATGGCAGTCGCCACTATCAGGGCAAAACAAACTTAAAGAAAATAAACTTGTTCAGAAACAGCATAGTTCAAGAGCATACACAGAGTGCTCATAGTCCTTGGAGGCACAGAGAGCCTCTGGGGCCCTCTGTCTGCCTCAGATATACATTAGCAGCAACTGGGCCTGCAAGCAGATACATTCCTATAGCGAGAATGAGTCACGTGTCAGAGACTTAACAATTAACTGCTACCTGTAGCAGACTTAGGCTTGGAAGTTATGTGCAGGCCGAATAGGCCTCCCTGCTTCTGCTCTTGAGAATCTTAGTCTCATAGCAATATTAAAGGAACTCAAATTAGTGCTCCCACCCAAGGCTAGCTTAAAATTTGGCCAACAGCACTGCACACACTCAAAATTAAGCCAACCTTTGGGGATACTATAAACGAAAGTGATTCCAGCTAAGCTGGGAACAGCCCTGACTAGCCCCACAATTTCAACAAGAGAAATGGGGCAAACCTTTTTGCGAAAGAAAGCCCCTAACGGGGCTCTCTCCCTATTGGGAAAGGCAAGCCACAGTTAAAGGGAGAATCTTCCCACAGGGCAGGGTAAGGGGTGGGGTGGGAAATCAAACAGGAAAAGGGGGGAATTAAATTATTTAAGGGACTAGAGAGGATTAAGAAGAAAGGGGAAATAAAGAAATAAAGAAATGTAACCAGACAATGAGAAGATTGTCCAAGCACTCCATGTGATCCGGTGCAAAACGGCCAAGAGGACGTCCAACGTCTGGCCCCTGTATTTAAAGACTCTGACCCCTCCTCCAAATTGGCAACAATCAAAACTCCCCAGCAACCCAATTTTAACCACTTAAAGGCTTGGGTTCCTCACAAAATCTGCCCAGTAACGGCAGGGTGGCTTGTTCCCCCAACCGCAACACGTGCTCTCTGTTAGGGAGAACACGCTTTGCTTGGTCCCTGCTCCTGCCAACCTAGCAGTTTGAAAGCACGTCAAAGTGCAAGTAGATAAATAGGTGCCGCTCCGGCGGGAAGGTAAACAGCATTTTCTTGCGCTGCTCTGGTTCCCCAGAAGCGGCTTAGTCATGCTGGCCACATGACCCGGAAGCTGTATGCCTGCTGCCTCGGCCAATAAAGCGAAATGAGCGCCGCAACCCCAGAGTCGGTCACGACTGGACCTAATGGTCAGGGGTCCCTTTACCTTATCTCCAGCCAACATGACCAATGGTCAAGGATGTTTAAAGTTGCAGTCAGCAACATCTGGACTTTTGCTACCCCTGATGTAATCAATATATTACCCATCCTCCTACCTCTTGGCAAGATGTGGTGAGACAGCAATAAGCAAAGCCAATTAACACCAAACGCTCACTAAAATTCAAGTAAAGCAGCTGAATTGGTGGTTTTTTTAATGACCAAGCTTCAGTCCTCTATCCCTAAAAACCAGACCAGATAAGAAGACCTCTATCATTTCCAAAAGCTGCTCAAGCTTCAGCTTTCCTAATTGCAGACCAAAGAGAAGGCAACCCATCAAATTGCATCTGAACTGGGCTAGGCTGCCCAGCTTAGTCCAGAAAGCAGAAACTAGCCAGGGGTGGTGTGTCCAGGGCAAAACAAAAAGAGTTGCCCTACTCTGCTACTGCCTCCAAAGCATCCCTTAACTAGGTTGCATGGCAGTGTGAAGCAGCAACTACAATGGTGGGTTCCGTAGCAATCTCACGAGATCTCACTGAGATATTGTGAGATCTCACACACTTAGAGATTTCAGTGGTGCGACGAGCAGGCCCCCATGGAGGTGCTAGCTTGAGGGCTTCTGCCACCTGAAGCAGTTGCTTTAACCCACCTCCTGGGCAGGCCAGCCCTGAAACTAGCCAATGGGAGTTTGCAGGGGAGAATAATCAAACACCCTTCTGCACCACTGCATCAGAGTTAGGAGGCTGAGAGCCTTCTGCTTCTCAAGGTGTGGTTGCACCCTTTGAAAGAAATGTCAATTGTTCAGTGTCTCTCATTCAACTTTCTCCCACTGCGACTGGTGCCAGATGTTCAGAGAGCACAAGATGCTCAAGAAGTTAGGCACATTAACTGAGAGATCCACTCTCCGTTCTTCGCATGATTGACAGTAGGCCGTGTGAGAGGCATGCTACCAGCATGTACATGGGATCAACAGTACAACTCTCAGATGAGCCAAGTGGAGAGCAGTGGTTGCAGAGCTGTCGCTGGAGCTTCTTGAACCCAGTTATAGCACAAAGGATCTTTGGGTATTTCACACTAAGTCGGAAATGGATGCCAATTTTCTTAAGATGACGGAGAGAAAGCAACCGGACATCCTGATCCTCCCCTGGCACAGAAATGTTTCAGCCATTCATTAAAAGTGGTCTTCTATAAAGGAATTCTCTCCCTCTTTTTTGGATTGGCCAAAGACTCACAGACAGACAGAAAGAAATAAGCTGCCATTCTTCCATTTGATAGCCAGACGCTGCCAGTTGTTGCTAAGGCAGTCATGCTGTTAAATTAGGTCTAATGAACGAGTAATTGCTTTACGTATAGTGAACCATTTGAAAGAAAACAAGGATTCTAATTGATTTGCAATTTGTTTGGCACATTGCTTTGTCTGGGGCTATTGATTAGTCTTCTGGATTTCACTCTGCATGTGTTTCCCTTTATTAAGGGAATAACAGGTTACTGATTACTTTCCTTCTGGGTTTAATGTAGCGGTTAATGTCTACTTTGTTCTTGTGTCATGTCCCAGGCAAGGAAGGAATAATATGCAAGTGGGTGGCCCTTTGCTAAGAAACTCCCCTGCTGCTTAGAGCTGTGTGCTTTAAGATGGGCTGAAAAGCAGATCAAGAGAAAGGGTTAGAATAGCAGGACGCACAAGTTACCGCCTGAGTCAGGCGAGGTGCGGGCTGGCAACTTAGCTTCCCTGCACAGTCAAAGCATATCCTTCAGCATGGAACAGTTGGTGGTAGATTTTGCACTTGTGGTATTTGACTGTGTACATGGACGCATGAATGGGTGTGCCTACTGTCAAACCAGTACCCAGTGGACTAATTGATTGATTGATTAATGAAATTTAAACAAATTTGTCTGTTGCTGAAGCCTCACTACAGATGTCTGAGAGCACACCTTTATTGAGACAAATTCACAGTTAGTAATCAAAGCCCCTCTCATGGCTCAGAGGAGAGGCCTTTTAACATTCTTGTAATTCTGCGTTATTGACAGACAGGCATTCATGGGGATGCTCTGTCTCTGAATTTCCTGCATCAATTGGCGAATTGGACTAGATCGCCCTCTCTCAGCTCTGTGATGTTTTAAAATCCCTATCACGTAACAACAAAGGAAAAACAGCTTCCAGTATAAACAGTGACAGCCCATTTCAGTTATCGATAATTTCTCTAGCCATCAAATGATACAAACAGAGATGAGTAGGTAGGCAGGTAGATAGAGAGATAGAGAGATTAAATAGAAAATACACCATCCTGTACATTTTGTAAATCTACTTGTGATCTTCTCTGATGAAAAGTGATATACAAATAATTGAAATAAATGAGTAATGGTCCAAATTCCCACTCAGCCATGAAGTTGGGTGACCTGAGGCCAGTCACAGTCTCTCAGCCTAACCCATCTCATGCAAATGATGTTAGGATAAAATGAGGCAGGGAAAGGCATGTACACCACCTTGAGCTCCTTGGAAGAAAACTGGGATATACATAAACCCATTAAATAAATATATATTTCCTTGCAGAATGCCCAATACAATAATTTGCTTGCGCAATATAATAATTTATGTTTATGTTTAGTTTTTAATTTGGGTTGGTCCAAAGCTGTCTGTTATTTTCTTTCTCTCATCTCCACTCATCCTGGAAATATTTACTGCGTGAATAAAACCTTTGAACTCCAGAAACTGTAAGTGATTGCTTCAATCTAATTCACCAAAGCTGCAAGTTCTGTTTAACAGGAGATTCGTTTTGTTTTTGGCCTATTGGTACAATGAGCTTTTCTTGACTGACGAGACTTTCTCCATGCAGCTCTTACCTTTGATCAGAGCTACCTAGTGTTGCACCCATTTCCCCTGCCTGATACAGATCATTGGTCTAATTCACTGTACACCAGCATCAATGAAAGCTTGTGCCAAGACTTATCTCTCTGTCTCTGTGCAGTGGTACTGGGACCTGCATGTTTGATCTTATGAGCAGCTGTTGCAAGTCTTTATGGCATCAGGTTGCATGTATATTTATTGCATTTGTATCTCATCTTTTTCTCCAAGTTGTTTGTGGAGACATACATGGTTCTCACCTTCTCATTTAAACTCCACAACAACCCTGTGAGGTAGGTTAGGCTGACAGGAAGTGACTGGCCAAAGGTCACCCAGAGAACATCATGACCAAGTGGGGATTTGAACCTTGATCTCCCAGGTCCTAGTCCAACACCCTAACCACTACATCACACTGGCTCTTCATGAATGTCTAAAAGATAAATTGAAACACATGAAATTTGCTATCATGTAATATGTCTTCTGTACCAGAGCAGCAGTCAAATTATCCTAATAGAAACCACTGCTAGGTGTAACTGCCTTGTGACTTGCATTGTATAAGGTTTTGCTAAGCCTAGTTATAGTTAGACAAAGGTATCCAGCACACACACACACACACACACACACACACACACACACAACCCTCTGCTGTTCTCAAATTCAGTGTGTTTATTCCAAATTGGAAAAAGCATCTTTTCAGGGAACGCAAATGCTTTATGCTCATAATGCAATCTTTGCAGAGGGACTCCTACCCCTCAATTATAATAGGATCACAGGATTTTGAATGTGATTAGTCCATAAACACAGTCTTCTTTGCCTTATTAGGATTATATTTATTCCCGAATGTTTTGAACTATGTTGAAGAAAAGGATTATGTAAGGAAGTTCAGGTTGAGCCAAGAAAATATTTTAAATGAAGGGCTTTCGTTCCTATCCTTCACAGCAGTAACAAGTTAAGTGCTTTCAACTTATTCCACTTTGCTATTGTCTGAACCCCTTGCTAAGTGTTCAGGATCATGTGCTGTATCTATTACTCTTCACTACCAAAGTCATTAGTTGCCGCAATATACTTTCTTTTGCAAGCTCGCAAATTGAGATTATAACATTCTGCACAATGTATTGTATAGCAGTAATCAAATCACTATTATATATAAAATGAAGTCTTAATAATATCTTGGGTACATAATTTATCTGTTCTGCAAATAGAATTCAGAGGGGAAATGTAGGCTTCTCTATTCATTTAAAAGTTAAAAAAAAACTTTCTTTCAGTTGTGTCAGATTATGGTCCATTGTGTTGCCTGGTGGAGATGAAAGGGATGTGGGTTCTACAGTCTTCTACTGCAGAGGTACCTGTGCTGAGCTCCATTCACATCAGAATTCGGGTGAGCTTAATATGCATCTCTGCATTAGTCAAGTTACCAAATTAAGTTTTCTTCTTCTTCTTCTTCTTCTTCTTCTTCTTCCTCTTCCCTCTTCCCTCTTCCCTCTTCCCTCTTC